AAAAAGCCGGAAGTGGCACTGTGGCTCAAGTGGTAGAGCGCTAGCCTTGAGCTGAAGAGCTGAGGGACAGTGCCCAGGCCCAGAGTTCAAGGCCCCATGACCGGACCCAAAAAAAAAACAAAAAAACCCCGAAATTTAAAAGCACAAAATCAACAGCAGCAACTTCATGATGGAACCTATCAGCAACAATAAATTCTTGTAAGAGGGGAGGGTGCCTATAACCCCCACACTCATGAAGCAGAGGCAGGGAAATTGTGAATTTGAGGATGGCCTGGGCTATCTAGGGAGATACTATTTCAAAAACCAATCAACCAGCTAACCAACCATGGAACAACAACAAACAAACGCACAGGAGTTCTGCTAAGAACACACTCCTTTAGAGTGTTCAGAGTACATTTTATAAATCAAGTTGGTTTCAACCTTATGATTCGGCATAAAGATTATTTTCTACAGGGCAAGATGGGAAGCTGGGGAAATTGTATGCCATGGACCTATCAAAAAGCCACCATAGTGCCAACTCTTAACAGGCTTTGGTGTCTCCTTCAGTCTCATATTCTATCTGTAGCTTCCACAAGGGGAAGGGATTTCCATCCTCTCTATTTGTAATGATGTCCCGGGGGGGGGGTGTTATGGAAAAGATAATGCTCCTTTGGGGTGGTTCACTGTGACTGTGACTGACGGATTCTTTCCAGTTACTCATCCAGATGGAAGTTGTGGCGGCTTAACAGCCTGAATGTTGAGATGAGACAAGTATAAAATATTGAATTTCTATGGGTCTATGTGCTTGCTCCTTTGATCTTTATTTCTGGTTTATGCAATTAATCACAATTGCAACTGTCTGAGAGACTGGTGCTCCAGGGGCAAAGCCATTCCCATTGTCTTAGTCTTAAGGACTTTATCCAATTAAAAAAAAAAACCCACAACGAAAAATGTTAACCGTGAAAACTCCATATTTACCCTGCTAGTGAAAAAAGTGAATACATTGAAAACTGAGTTTTTCTTTTATGATATTGCAGGACTTTTTTGACCAAGATGATGACCTTAGTGACTCCATATTGTTTAGTGAAGAAGGAGATGTCAAAGGTGAAGGTCAAGACTGTCCACCTAAAACAGATGGTAAAACAACTCTGTCCCTGATATTTTTATGGAGATAGCATTGATTATCGGGTTTCTTCTCTAATTTCAGAAGTGCTCAGTCAATACAGGAAGAGGAAGATCAAAACCTCTCATCATTCTACCTTTAGCCTTATGTGAATTAGCAATGTGCCTTTATCCACACGGGCAACCGTCTCCTGGCTCTACTCTGTCTACTCCAGCTCAGCCCCTCTCCATTCTTCTCCTTGTTGTCCAATAATTTCCTTCCCTCATCTCTTTCCTTTCAGGATCTTCCATCATCACCAGGAATCTGCTTCTACCTAGAGCCAAACATTTCTCTATCTGCCACCAATAGTTTCTGAGGTGCTGGTTCCCTTGACAGGAAGTGGAAAAATGAACTAGTGAGAAAGTCCCAAGGCTCTGTCTCTGACTCTGAGAATCAGGCATTTCCAGAATAATATCTCTTTCAAATATATAGATCCTGTCACATCTCTAAGTTTCCTTAAGTTATTTCCTCTTATGTTATTTGCAGATTCTTGCTTCACAGAATAGTCACAGTGTTCACACTTTTCTATCATCTATCACCTATAACCTTCTTAAATTAAATGTTTATTTGAACTGTTTCAGTTCCTCCCTGGCAATTTTCTGGCTTCCATCTGTAACACTCCAGGGAAGCTGCCCTCATAGATAGCTGTTTTCTTCATTCCTTTGTACCTCCCTGAAGGTTTTGGTACTTGCTTCACATCTGTTTCTTTGGGCCTGCTGCCCTGTCTTGGACAGTTTCCTCCTCTGTCTTTCTCAAATTCACTAGAACTTCTCCTCTGGCTGAGGACAGTCACTAACTTAGAAACAATTAAAATTATGAATACCATTAGGCCTGGGAAGGGTAATTAACATAAACAAATGATCTCCTCCTAAATAGTCCTTGTGGTCTACTTTTTTTTTAGCACATTTTTTTGTCAAGCATTGTTTGTTTTTCTCCTACCATCCCTTCCCTGCCCCACCTCCCCTACTCCTCTCCCCGCCACTTTTGACTTTTATAAACTTCAAAGATAAATTCTCAGAAATGTCATGAACACCTAATCATGTCCTTAAACAGCCTACAAGAGGTGAAATATTTCATTTCATTCTGCTCAAATTAGAGATGACTGGCCATTTGAGGTGCTCATTGTTCTTTTCAAGTTGATTTGTAGTGTTTTGAGGTTAAAATTTTTTTTTCTCTTTAGTAGTCTTGGTTTTTACACAGGATGCATATAACATACAACACCTCCAATGAGTTCTTGCAGGTTTTAAGCCTAAGTCAGTTGGGTTACAAATTTCTAAGAACCTGATTTTTCTGACAAACTTTCTCCTTAGTGATGAACTTCAATTGAGTTATTCTTTCCCATTACAGACTTTGAAGTAAAGGGGTGTAAGCATTCTTGTGCATCTTAAAAATATCAATGTCTCGTTAAATATCAATTTAATCTCTTTAAGTGCCATTTATCTGTTATAAATGTTTAAATTGGTCACATATGACATATGACTATTTTTAGAAATACATATTTATTTTATTTACATTTGTTCATCATATTATTTATTCTATTAAAAAAGAGAATGTCACAGCTGGGAACTGGCTTATGCCTATAATCCTAGCTACTCAAGAGGCTGAGACCTGAGGGTCACAGTTCAAAGCCAGCCCAGGCAGGAAAGTGTACGAGATTCTTATCTCCAATCAACTACCAGGAAACTGGAAGTGATGCTTTGGCTCAAAGTGGTAGAGCACTAGCCTTGAGCAAAAGAACTAGGGACTGGCCCTGAATTCAAGACCTATGGCTAGGAACAAAAAGGGAGGGGAAAACATCACTAATTAAAATAAATATAAAGAGCAAATTCCTAAAGGTAGAGTGCTTGCCTAATGCATGCAAAGCTCTGAATTTAATTCCTAGCACTGTAATTAATCAATTAATCAGTCAAATGATTAGAGAATTGCCTCAGCCCAGTCAAGCTGCCATAAGGAAATACCACAGACAGGGTGCTAAGACAACATTTATTTTCTTATAACTCTACAGGTACAAAGTCTAAGATCAGGGTTCAAAGTGTGTGCATACTTATGCATATGACATGTTTCAGAGATTAATTTCAGATAAGGGGCTCTCTTTTTGATCTGCAGAAAGTTTCTGTGCTCTCTTATGACCTTTCTCTGTGCACAGTGGGAGAACAAGAGAGAGTGAGAAAGACAACTCTCTGGTGTCTTTTCCTATATGGACACTGCTCCTATTGAATCACGGTCTCATATAACTTTAATGTCTTCCTCAAGGCCCTTCTCCAAATATAGCCACACTGGGGATAAAGGGTTCCTGTATAAGTTTGAGAAGGACACAGATATTTCAGGCAATAGCAGGAAGACTCTTCATTGTATTGTTAGAAATAATTCCTATGACTTCATCTGAAAACTGACTATTGCTGGTCCCCAAATCATACTGCTTCTGTCCTAACCAGAGAGCTACTCTCATTATCAACTGAAGGGCACTCTCCCTCAGCTGACAGTCATATAGCAAAGGATGTCTGCCCCTTATCTTTTGTTTATTTTTTAAGTATATAGAAATCTCAAAATGACTTTATTCAGTGTGTTTCAAGGGACTCATGTCCTATAACAAATGACAGTTTTTCTCCTTCCTTCCATCCTACTTTCTCTCCTTCTTTCCTTTCTTCCTCTTTCCTTCCTTTGTTCCCTCATTTTTTCCTTCTCTCCTTTTTTGTATTTTTCAAAAAGTAATTTTAATATGCTGCAGCAATATAAATGGTAGGAAATAAATCACACTTTCTCCAGGGGTTTGAAAATCAAAGAGAACCATGGCAGAGATATGCACTTTATCTTTTTAATGCAATTCATATGCATCAATCTCTCATGGAAGCTTTCTGAATTCTAGTAGTACAGGATAATAGAAATTATAGGTTTTTAAAAGTCTATTTTGAGATCACAACTTAGGAAAATATCCAAACATGCAGGGGCATCAAAGTAGTTTCAATCTTGGTAGAATATGGCAGATTCCCCAAATAAAACAAGGAAGATACACAAGAAAAGAAGATTTTATTTTTTAAAGACAATGATTTTTCATCCTTGAATAAATTAGACTCAGCCAGATTTTAAGTTTCCATTTTAATAATACCTATAGCACTAACAATAAATTAATGATCATTTTTAAATTTTTATGAATATCATTTTCACCTCATCTATGAAATGTCTATCATATGTTTTTGGCTACATTGAAATGCTGCCTTTTAATTTCTCTCAATGGTTAACACTTTTTGGCACTTAATTTACACCATCTTCAACTCAGTGCTTATAAACGCAAGTGCTTTATATACAAAGCATCATGCTTTCTGACCTTCTGGTTAGCTTTACTACTCCTTTTTTCGTTTTGTTTTGGTTGGTTGTGGGGCTTGAACGCTGGACCTGGGCACTGTCCCTGAGCTCTTCAGCTGAAGGTGAGTGCTCTATCTCTTGAGCCACAGTGCCACTTCCAGTTTTCTGGTGGTCAATTGGAGGTAAGAGTCTCATTGGCGTTCTTGCCCTGGCTGGCTTTGAACCGTGATCCTCAGATCTCAACCTCCTAAGTACCTAGAATTACAGGCATGAGCCACCAGCGTCAGGCTACTGGTTAAGTTTAGAGACCTTATCTACCACTGCTTAGCCACTCAATGTTTAAGAGAAAGAACAAAGAGAACATTGATATGTTTCTAAATAATTTCAGAGTCAGTATATTCTATAATTTGTCTCTAGCTCCACATTCAGACCCAACAATTAGGATGACAGCCATGAGCTCTTAATGATTTCTAAGAAGGCAGGTACTCCTGACACTTGCTTATTGTATCTGTGTCCCTTTGTTTGAAAAAGAAACCAGTCAGTTCAACTATGGAGCACATTACATGTGCCTAAGACCTTCCAGGCTTAGTAGCTCTCTATAATTGTAAACATAGCGTCATTTTTAAGTATTGCTCATGTGAATATTCAGTTTTTTAACTTCCATGCAAAGTATTAAGTGCATCTAGCTTTTTTCCCCAAGATCATTCTTTTCATCACAGTTTAGTTAGTAGCAATGTATGACTTGTTCACCCTAACATGCCAACTAGGTTTTTATACTCAAGGATGACAGCAGAGATGTTATGAAAGACATCCATCTTCCTTTCAAATTGTAGGATGACCTTGAGCATGTCACCCAGATTCATCTCTAAAATGAAGAGTTTGGATCAGATGACCTCTAAAATCCCTCCAGCTCTGTAATTTCAAGCCTCTCATTTTACACTACATTGTGTGGTGATAGGATCTTTGAAAAGTTAAAAAAAATTGACCTTTCCAAGGCAACTTCATTTTTACAGAGGCATTCCTTGATATTGTATAATATTAGAAAACATTCAATCAAGCTGTCTTATTTGAAAAAGAAAGCCAAAGCTGGATATATCTTTGTGGTACCACAAAATATAATGTTGTCTGACAAAGATGGAAAATACTACTTTTGAAATCCAATTATAAGTAAATTTTTTTCTGGCAATTTTTAATGCGCTAGCCTTAGTAAATGATATCGATATAAAGATTGAACAATGAAATGCTGTCATAGCTGAGCATGATGGCACACTACAGGTATTTGGGAGATAGACGTAGGAAGAGCATGGTTTGAAGTTAGCAAAATAGCATGAAATCCTACCTGAAAACGAACTAAAGGCAAAAAGAACTATGGGGGATGGCTCAATCCCGTTTACTGCAAAAAATAATAATAAAGTTGTAACTCTGATGCTTCCTACATATTAGTAAACTATCCAAAGTCCTTTAGGAACAATAAAATTCTAGTAAATAAGTTGGTGTTGATAATGATAGCTGTGAACAACTTTTTCCAGGCCAACCAAGAAGTGGCAAAAGAGACTTATAGGCCCAGATCTGAATTGCTTCCTTTCCTTATCCTTGTGTTAAGGGAAGTATTCCGTTCGTGGAGCTCATACAAACATTGCTTCTCCTCATACATGCAGGCAGATGTAGGCTGAGTAAACAATTCTGACAAATATAAGAACAGAAATGAAAACTGGGACAGCCATCACATTCTGCTGGAAGAAGACTCCTCCATGCACCCACAACGCAGAACATTTCTATCACAATGCTTACTACCTCACTGCAACTTCGTATTTCTTTTCTGTTGTCTCCCCTAGAGCTGTAGCTCTATCATGTTTATTTCTATTTCATTAGCCTAAAACCCTGAGTTTGGCATAAAGTTAACAAAAGTGTATTGAATGGGATGAAAACCCCCAAAGACCTATTTTAGTTTGGTTCACACTAATTTTTTACATAAATTTGCTGAACATGGTATATGATAAGAAAGTTGTAATGTTCCACCTAACTGTTATTCAGGATAGCCTTCTGTGGACTCAAACAAAAGATGGCCAAAATTACAAATGCAGGCAAGTTACTTCAGGGCTGCATAAATTATCTCAGTTAATGTTCATCACTTCCACTTCATAGGAGGAAGACTTTGTTGTCTTCACCCAGGAGACAGCACTGTCTCTGATTCTGTCTCTCCATCTCTTGCTCTCTTCTATTTATTTAAATATTTTTATGTAATGGGTAAAATACTATATTATAAAGGGATTTTTTTGCTCTTTAACAAGGCATTCATTTAGAACCTATCATAGGAAGAGGAAAGTGTGGCTCCAGTAATAGAGCTCCAATCTTAAGCAAAAAACTAACAGACAAGCCAGGCCTCAGCAGCTCACACCTGTAATCCTAGCTACTCAGGAGGCTGAGATCTGAGGATCAAAGTTCAAAGCCAGCTGGGGCAGGAAACTCTATGAGACTCTTATCTCCAATAAGCCACTCAGAAAATCGGAAGTGGCACTGTGGCTCAAGTGGTAGGGCACTCACCTTGAGCTGAAGAGCTAAGGGACAGTGACCAAGCCCAGAGTTCAAGCCCCACAACTGACAAAAACAAAAAACAAAAAAACAAAAAAAAAACTAACAGACAGCACCCAGCTTTTGAATTCAAGCCCTAATACAGGCACAAAAATATAAACATATAAATATAAATAAATATTATTTTAAAAATAGAACTACTATATACTAGACAGGAAAAATACATACATGGATATACCTCAGCCTCTTATAAATGTCCATTCTCTAATTATTGAGTAACCAAGTAGTCAGACATAAAATACCTTTCATTCTTACTACTGAAAATCATTGTTTTCTTTTCCCTTCTACTTGTATCATGAATTTCTACAGATGTTGAGATTATTGTGACTTTTCCAAGAGACCATCCCCCAGAAATGAACCAAGAGGATTTGAAAGAAAGCAAGTAAGGAATATCCTTTGAGGTGTTTGATTGGAATATAATTCAGAAGTAGTTAGATATTTGTGTGGCACCTTACATGTTTTGTAATTTAATCCAAAATAACACCCTAAAGCCAGAGACAAATAATAAGCTTTGTGGTAATACAGTCTTTGTTGCAGTGATTTAACTCTACAATTAATTAATTAATTAACTCTTCAATTAATACAATAATAAGGCAGTTATGAACAATATGTGAACATATTGTGTCCCATTAAAACTACAAAGACAAGCTTAAGGTCATATTTGGCCCCAGCATTAAGATTGTGACCACCCTACTCCAGAAACTATAAAAATGCAGTTCTGTAACCCTGTGACCAGTCATGATGAGGTCAGTGTAAAACTTGAGGATAACCATGTAAAAAACTGTAAAGCAACTTGGCAATGTAATATTTGTGCACTGATCAGAAAATGAAAAAAATTAGCTATGCTCTGCATATTTTAAATTATTCCTTTAGTTTTGTGGCATCCATTTTTATTATATTTTACAAAAAATGTTATTCCACAATGGATTGGAAAACTTGAAAACCAGTTCTTCACTAAAGACGGTTTGAGAAATACGGGGCTGGTAAATGCCTTTGGAGATACAAGGTGCAGCTTCTGTACTTGTCCTTTGTCCCTGATTTCTCTGGTCCAGGAAATGGGGACATGAAAAACTGAAATGGATTGAGTTGGAATCTGTGCAGGCCATTGTACTGAGTATGGGGGACAGAGAAGGTGGAGAGAAGTTCAGAGTGTAGAGAGGTCTAGTCGTCTCAGGATTCAATCATTCTGCTCAACAGCACCATTTGGAAACAGTTCTGCAAAATTTCTAGTGAGGTCAGACTGGCCTAAGAACCAGAAAGCCAAAAGATAATCAGGTTTCCATCACTGTGACAAAACACCTTAGATAATCAGAGTTTCAGGAGTTCTGATTGCTTTGGCTCCATAGTTTTGAGATCTGTGGAGGGCAGTACCTCATGTTGAGGAGCACTTAGCAGAGAAGGTTACTGTCTCATGATGGCCAGGAAGCAAACAGAGAGAGAAGAAGGTGTGTGGGTGGGAGAGCAATACCTCCCTTCAAGAACATATCCCCTAGGGGAAGGGAAAAAATTGTTTAAATAGGGATACAGGTGGACCCATTGCAACAATGAGATGTACAAGACGTTATGTTGAAATGGCTCGCGGGGGGGGGGGGGTGGGGGGAAGATGGGAAGGGGAAACAAAGGAGGAGGCAACAATGCTTGATAAGAAATGTACTCATTACCTTGCTCAGGTAATTGTAACCCCTTTGCATAGTATTTTCACAATAAAAAAAAAAGAACACATCCTCAATAGCCTAACTTTTTCCACTAGGCCCCACTTTAGCAATAACTGTTCCTCTCCTTTCAGTCAGATAACTTCAGTGCATCAAGAAGGGGAACACACACATTCTGTTCCTCTCCCAAATGAAGATGAGATGGCAGACTGTGAGGTGAACACACTAGCCATGCCTTTCATTCTAAAAACACAAGAAAGTTCCAAGGAGCTCTACAATGTGAACATGGGCTTTTTGTTGCCCAGACCTTGCTTGGAACCAATTATCTCCAAGTCTGTAACCAGAGAAGAGACTCCTACTTTTCTCAAGGTGCAGCAAAGAAAATCTGAAGGTAAGTCAAACATTTAACTCCTCAGTGATTTTTTTTTAGTATTTTGCTCAATTAACATTTGTTTATAATTCCAAGCACTACTGTAAATGCTAGAGAAATTGCAGTGAATGAGATATAATATCTACTACCCTTGTGGAACTCTGCATAAATATACATTTCCATTTTAAAATATATCTTCAATAAATATATTCACATATTTATATATTTATTTATATGTATTCACATACATATAAATTTAGCTTTTGCTAGGTACTAGGGTTTCCAATTTAGTCTCCTGCCTGGATCGCCAAGTTAATGTGACAATGTAAGAAGCATCTTCCAATTCTTGAGTCCATGATTTATTTACCAGAGATTAGTATCAATACCAGCCTTTTCTTGCAACAGGATTATGCTGTCTTTGGTATTTGCCACTGACCTGAGCCCTTCAATCTAAATCTCCAGGAACAAATCAACAGGTCACATTTATTGGCCTTTTGCAATAATAGAAAGTGCACCCCCAAAGAACCTTAAGGCATCTTTCCAAACAAAGGAAAAAATATAATACTTGCATAATTTTGGAGATGAGTAGGGCAAGAGAGTCCACGAAACTATCATCATCATCATCATCATCATCATCATTATCTTCAAAAAATCCAGATGTAGAGCTGTGGATCAAGTGGTAGAGCACTAGCCTTGAGCAAAAATGCTAAGGGACAGTGCTCAGGACCTGAGTTCAAGCCCCAGGACTGGCACAAATAAAATACTCTGGGAAACACAGATGAGCAAGAAAAAAGAGAAATAAGTACCAACAGTACTTCAGGAATATATTTACATATTTCTAAATATGTTTATAACATTTCTTGATCGTTTAAAACTACCAATCTTGCCGGGCACTGGTAGTTCACGCTTGTAATCATAGCTACTCAGGAGGCTGAGATCTAAGGATCATGGTTCAAAGCCAGCCTGGGCAGGAAAGTCTGTAAGACTCTTATCTCCAATAAACCACCAGAAAACTGGAAGTGGCGCTGTGGCTCAAGTGGTAGAGCACTTGCCTAGAGCTTCAGAGCTGAGGGACAGCACCCAGGTCCAGAGTTCAAGCCCCACAGCTGACAAAACAACAAGAACAACAACAATAAAAAACTTACCAACCTCCAGTTTTCCTAATTTTTGTGCTAAAAAACAATCCATTGTCTACATTGGGTGCCAGTGGCTGATGCCTGTAATGCTAGCTAGTCAAGAGGCAGAGATCCTAGCACACAGCCCAGGCAGGAAAGTCTACAAAACTCTTATCTCCAATTAACTACCCAAACCCAGAAATGGATCTGTGGCTCAAGTGTTTAGGCACTAGCCTTGAACAAAAATGCTCAAATATAGCACCCAGGCCCTGCGTTTAAGCCCAGGAAACTGGTGCATATGCACATAAACACACACACACACACACACACACACACACACACACACATGAATTCAATGTCTCCATTATTATATTATATTATATTTGCTGAACCCTATATCATACTGATTACATGACATTTCCTTTCTTTTTAGATAGTGTATTTATCCTCACCAATTGTTTAGTTTCTGTATCCCTATCACTAATTTACCCCCAGCCAGTCTAATGGATTTGTAAAGCAAATACGATGCCTGGTAATCTATTACTTCCTGTGGTTTCTGGAGACTGAACCTGGAACACTTCACCATCCTGTTTTCACTCTGTCTTGCTCTTTGGACCAACTGAGCAGCTGACTCTCCACCAAAACCAAGAGCGTTCCTTACTCCCTGCTAGGTTGAATCCCTGCGTACAGACACAGTTTGTTCTTTCTAATCTCCATGGCATTCAGTGGGCCATATTTGCCAGCAGTTTCCTAGGAAGCTATTTGTTTTATTCTCCATATTTTCATGTTTGAGACTTTTCTCATCTATTAAATTGTCCATGGTTATCTATGCTTATTGGAGAGTGGTGTTAAAAAGTACTATGTGTTTGAGTGGGCTTGATGAGGGAGCTCAAAGAAGGTAAATTGGCAGATCTGGAGGACAAGGGTCCCCAAGTTTGAGAGAGTGTGGTGAAAAAGTTTGCATATTCAATTTGCCACCTTGGACTGTAACTGTACATATTTTTTTAAGGTTTTCACACATACTTTTGACTTAACCTACCAGAAAGATCTCTTTGTTCCCACCAGAAATATCAGAGCAGAGTCTTTCTGCCTGACATCACTCTATGTTAGCTTCCTGTTGCTGTGATGAATACCTTCTTATAAAAGAAGGAAACATTTCTTTTAGCTCATTGTTTCATGGCAGATCTCCCTGCCCAGGTGGCAGAGTAGTGAAAATGCATCATGGTGTCCAGGAAAGACTAAGAAAGAGAGTGAGGATGGAAGGAGAAGAAAAGAGAGAAGAGAAGAAGGGAGAGAGAGGGAAAGGGAGGAAAGGAAGGAGGGAGAAAAGGAGGAAGAGAGCGAGAGAAGGAGGGAGAAAGGGAGAAAGGGGGAAGTAAGGAGGGATAAAGGGAAAGAAAGATGGAGGAGGGAGAAAGAGGGTGAGAGTGAAAGGAAACAGAGAGAATACTCAGACTAATTGGCGTCTTCCTTTTCCTTCCTTTCACCCTATTATTCTATCTGTGCTTTAGTCTATAGGATATGCCATTCCCACCCACATTCAGAGCAGGTTTTTCTCCCACAGTTACTGTCCCACAGGTCAACTGTCTCTTGATACTCACTCATATACACTCCCAGGAGTATACTTCACTCAGCTCTTAGACATCTCTCACTCCAATCCAGTTGACAATCAAGCTTAACCATCATACCCATACTGAATAGCATCTAACCAAGTACTGTGACAACACCAGAAAATGTTAAACTCAGGAAGTTATTCATAAGCACCCAACCATAAATTATGTTGGCTCATAGTTCTAGATTTTTTTTCCTAGTACGTTTTCAACAGAAAAATCTCAACTTCTAGAATGTGATCTCCATGAGAACAAAGATTTTTGTCTTCTTTTATGACACACACACACACACACACACACACTCATACATGCGTACCTTTTTCTCTACATACCTATGAAAAGCTTAATTTATAAATTAGGCACAGAAAGAGATTAACAATAAATAAAATAATAAGGCAATTCTTTTTTTGGGGGGGAGGGGTCCGGTCATGGGGCCTGAACTCTGGGCCTGGGCGCTGTCCCTCAGCTCTTCAGCTCAAGGCTAGCGCTCTACCACTTGAGCCACAGCGCCACTTCCGGCTTTTTTCTTTTTGCTTATGTGGTGCTGAGGAATTGAACCCAGGGCCTCAGGCATGCAAGGCAAGCACTCTACCACTGAGCCACCTTCCCAGCCCTAATAAGGCAATTCTAACAACATAGTGTGATAAAAAAAAAAGTATGTGAACATGGTTCCTCTCTGTGTTCCTCTGAATAGCCTGACTAAGACAATTCAATTCTCTTTTTCTCATAGAGTTTTCTACCTCTGATATGAAATACAGTAGCCGAAAGACTGAGGTAAGATTTGCTTACTATTTTTTGACTTCAGAATAAAAAGAATTCAATGAGCTGGCTCACTCCTATAATCCTAGCTACTCAGGAGGCTGAGATCTGAGGATCAAGGTTCAAAGCCAGGCTGGGCAGGAAAGTCCGTGAGACTCTTATCTCCAATAAACCACCAGAGAAACTGGAAGTGGCGCTGTGGCTCAAGTGGTAGAGCACTCACCTTGAGCTGAAGAGCTGAGGGACAGCACCCAAGCCCAGAGTTCAAGTTCAAGCCACACAGAGAAAGAGAGAGAGAGAAAGAGAGAGAGAATCAATGAACTTTATTTATTAGAGACAAACCCCATCAAACAATTGAGAACTAAATCCTCCACAATTACATCTTGGAGAAACAGTGACTCATGTAGTTTATTGGGTGCCAAATCATTCTTGAAAAAAATTATGTATAGCTTTGTGCTGCTTTTCTGGGCTGGTTCTGCTTCTGGTTACATAACTAAGTGAATAGCTCTCCCAGACACCTTTTCAGTCGACTGTTTTGAAACTAGGTAATTTGTGTGTGTGTGTGTGTGTGTGTGTGTGTGTGTGTGTGTGTGTGTGTGCTGGTGCTGGGTGGGGCTTGAACTCAAGAGACTGCGCAATATACCCTTAGGTTTTTGCTCAAGGCTAGTGCTCTTCTACTTGAGTCACAGCTCCACATCCAGCTTTTGGGTGGTTACTTTTTTTTTGGAGATAAGAGTCTTATAGATTTTCCTGCTTGGGTTGGCTTAGAACTGGTATCCTCAGAACTCAGCCTCCTAAGTAGCCAGCATGAGCCACTGATGCCTGGTGAAACTAGATAATTTTTAATTTAAAAAGTTTTGTTGGGGCTGGGAAGGTGGCTCAGTGGTAGAGCGCTTGCCTTGCATGCCTGAGGCCCTGGGTTCGATTCCTCAGCACCACATAAGCAAAAAGAAAAAAGCCGGAAGTGGCGCTGTGGCTTAAAGTGGTAGAGCGCTAGCCTTGAGCTGAAGAGCTGAGGGACAGCGCCCAGGCCCAGAGTTCAGGCCCCACGACCGGACCCCCTCCCAAAAAAAGTTTTGTTGGCAGTATGAGGGATTGAACTCAGGGTCTTGTGCCAGCTGGCCAGACACTCTACCATTTGAGCCATACCCTTAGCCATTTTGCCATTGTTATATTTTGAATACAGTCTCACATGTACATGTTGGCATACCTGGACCCTGATTAGCCTATTTAGACTTCTTATGTACCTAGGATAACAGCATGCCACTATATCAACTTTTTCTTGGTTGAAATGAAGTCTTGTGAACTTCCTGTTCAGGCTAGCCTGAACCATGATCCTTCTCATCTCCAGCTCCCCAGTAATGAGGATTACAGGTATGTGCTACTGGCACCCAGTTGAAATTAGCCCCCAAATCTACTGATGGAAAGCTTTTCTTGTCTAGTTTATAGTAAACTTTTGGAAAGATACCTGCAGGTTTTTCACTTTCTCAGCTTGCTGGTCCTTCTCTAGCTTATGAACCTTTGAGCAAATATTTCTATTACATTAAAAAAAGAAATGTATTGGCCTAAAAATTAATGGGCATTATGAGGCAGATATTTAAGCACTTGGGAAATCTTTCTTTATTTCCTTAATCATTTTTAAGAAATAAGTAAGGTCATCCAGATGAGATGATTCAGACTAATACCCTACATGCCTGAGTCAGTGTTGGGGCAAAACAGTGTTGGCAACAGAATGAGAATTGAACTTGCTCTCAATTGTTATGCATGATCCATGCCTATAAATATTCTGATATAATTAGACATAAAGTTTGTGTGCCAGCGAATAGGCCACAATGAAAGAAACATTGAATTAAAGGGTTTATAATTTTGAGCACTGATCTGAATGCTATACATTGGGTAACACTGCCCCCTATTGGTCAACAATAATTTTAAACTCAGTTGGGAGTCAGATCTGGTGGTACACTCCTTGTAATCCCAGTTACTCCAGAAGCAGAAATATGAAGCACCACAGTTTGAGACTAGCTTAGGGAAAAAGTTAAAGTCTCATCTCAATAAATATGCCATGTGTGGTGGTTCACACCTGTCATCCCGGATAGATAAGAGACACAAGGAGGAGGACAATAGTCTAAAACCAGCCTAAGCAAAAACTCAAAACCCTATCTGAAAAATAAGCAAAAAGGTTTAGAAGTATGTCTCAAATGGTAGATCATCTGTCTAGCAGAGTGCAAGGCTCTGAGTTGAAATCTAGTACTTTGCCAAAAACAAGCAGAATAAAAAAGGAAAGAAAATAGTTAAAAATAGCCATTAGGGCTGCTAACATTCATATGTAAAGGAAGAAGATGTTGAACATTCTTCAATAGTGGTATTATCATTGCCATATCTGTAACAGAAATTTAAACTGCTCTCAGGATGGCTTCAAAAATTTTAAATATATTCTATGGAAAGTAGAAAGAAGATGAAGAAGCAAGGTACCATGGTTTACACTGGTAATCCTGGCTACTCCAGAAGCTGATACAGGGAGATTCAAGGTTCAAGGCCAGTCTAGTATACATGAGACCGTCTTGTCAACAAATAGCTGGGTATAATGGCACTTGTTTAGCATTCCAGCTATGATAGGGAGTCTAAAATAGGTGGGTCATATCAAGCCTGGGCAGAAAGCAAGACCCTGTCTCAAAAACTAATGAACTCATAAAAGAGCTTGAAGGTATGGCTTGGTGGTGAAGTGCTTGCCTAGCAAGTTTAGGCCTCTGAGTTTAAAACTCAGGAATAAAAAGTAAATGTTTCTCATTTTATTTTATTTGTTTGTTTGATGGTCATAGGGCTTGAACTCTGGGCCTGGGCTCTCTCCCTCAGCTCTTCAGCTCAAGGCAAGCACTCTACCACTTGAGCCACAGCACCATTTCTGGTTGGATTCGAGTCTTATGGAGGGGTTGGGAAGGTGGCTCAGTGGTAGAGTGCTTGCCTTGAGGCCCTGGATTCGAATCCTTAGCACCACATAAGCAGAAAAAGCTGGAAGTGGCTCTGTGGCTCAAATGGTAGAGCTCTAGCCTTGAGCTGAAGACCTGAGGGGCAGTGCCCAGGCCCAGAGTTCACAACCGACAAAAAAAAAGTCTCATGGACTTTCCTGCCCAGGCTGGCTTTTGAACCTTGGTCCTCAGATCTCAGCCTCTTGAGTAACTAGGATTACAGGCGGGAGCCACAGGTGCCCAGCTGTTTCTCATTTTAAACAATTAACATTTACATTATAGACTCTTCATTTAAAATAGGTAACTATGAGTCGTTAGATCTAATTTCATTCTTATGTGTTTTATTTTGCTTTTAAAAGCAAATGAGAATTTAATTAGTTTTGTGATTTTTATATTTTGGTGCTGAGGATTGACTCTAGGGCCTCTTGCTAAGTACCTGATCTACCAATGAGCAACACTTGGTTTGATCTTGTCAGATGTGGTCATTTACTCTTGTAACTCTAGCACCAGAGAGGCAGAGACAGGAGGTCTTAAGTTAGAGACTGGCCTGGACTGCATGAGGAGACCCTATCTCAGAGGTAGATAGATAATAGATAGATAGATAGATAGATGATAAATAAAGTCTTTTAAATAGCTTTGTGTTTTAAAGGTTTTTCCTTAAGAAAACAGAATTTCAGATGCTTTAAGCCAGTTAATGTGATACAGTATTTCCATTTTTGTGCACATCTCACCTTTTCTTTCTCTGTTTTAGTTTTCTCTGCCACCATTGTCTCTTGTGCCCTTGAGATCTGGTATGCTCACTATTCCCCAAAGTCACAAGGTTCCAAGAGAAACAGAAAGAAACACAGCAAGCCTCACATGCTTTGTACCTAACATCCTTGAACCTGTTAGTTCCTCATGTGTGTTTACTGCAGCAAACCAGCAGAAGAAAGTCCCGTTAAAGGGGCTGATGGATCAGACACTCAGGCCTTCTGATAGCTCCATTTGGTCCAGAAACATGTGTCCTTTTTGGAAGACTAGCCATCACAGACAACACCTGGAAGTGGAAGAGAATTGGAAATCCAAGGAAACAGAAGGATGGGACACAACTGAAGCCTCTCCTTTTGAAAAAGGGCAGTCTCTGGTGTCCTTTGACCATTTTAAGGATGGCGGTCTTCCCACAGATAAGGAACAGGATACTGAATACTGTAATGGTGAAATGAAAAAAACAGAAGAAAACTCCCTGCATGTGTCACGGAGAAAGAAAGAGGGCCCGTCAGCCAAAAAGGATGAACAGGATTCACAAATTGTGTGTACCATCCCAAGCAAGCCCCAAGAAGTCCAACACTCTGAAGTAATTCCCAGTGAGGAGAAAGTGACTAGAAATAATACCCATTCAAAAAGCAATTCCTTGTCTAAAGGTGAAAAAATGGACCCAGAGGATATTTTAGAAGAGTTTACTGTACTTAAAGACTTGTTCAATGTGGTTTCTGATGGTCCCAATGAACAGCTCCCAGGTCATCTCCACATGGGAACAAACATAAAAATAGCAATAGCTGAAGCAACCAAACCAGAAATGAGTGGGATGGTGCCTCTTCTCCACATCACTTTCCCTGAAGAAGAAATGCCCAAAGAGCCAGCTGTAGCCAAACCAAGCCTCCAGAAAAGAAAGAATGTTGCTCCTAACAATGGCTTCAACCTACTTGCACACCAAGAAAACAACAAACTTAAGGTGAGTACCCATAGAAGTAAGTTGGATTCAAAGACCAAGACAAGTAACAAGACACCTCAAAATTTCATGATATCCATTCAAACTTCCATTAAGCCTAATCTGCATAAAACTAGCACAAAAACTCAGGTGTTGCCTGCTTTGGAGCTTGTTAACCCTAAGGCCAGGCAATCATCCAAGTGTCAAAAGAGAATGCCACAGATAGAAAAGAAGCAATTACCTTACTGGACACAGAAATCTAAAAAGCAATCCTTCCCATGCATCTGTAAAAATCCAGGAATAAAAAAGCCATGCATTCCTCTCTCTGTACCACCAACAGAGCCCAGACTACATTACCTGGATCTGAAGTATAGTGACATGTTCAAAGAAATCAATTCAACTGCAAATGGACCTGGAATCTATGAAATGTTTGGGACTCCTGTTTATTGTCATATGCGGGAGGCAGAAAGGCGTGAGATCTGTTCTGCTCCATCTGGCAGGTGTATCACCAACAAATGTCGAACTTCACATAGCGAACGGAGCAGCAATAGCAGAACCAGACTTGCTCAGAAAAGACCACACATTAAACCTCCAAAGCCTTCACTTGAATTTAAACACAAACACAAAGGTTTAATTCCTAAAGGAAAAGGTTGCAAAGCTGTAGGTAGCGACCTAGAAGATGTTGAAAATGGTATTCCAGAACCAGACTGGCAGAAGAAATCATCAGGAAATGACTTTCTGTCCATTCAAGATGAAGTTCAGTCCATGAATTTGGCCCAGGTTTCTGAGAAGGGTCCTAAGCAGAATGAATTCCTTCCTATATCAGAGTTATCTATTGTTGAAGAGATCTCGATGGAAGACTGTGTGGATGAAGGAGACATTTCTAACAATCAGATCCTCACCATGAGTCTCAAAGATCTGCAAGAACTTGAAGAGCTCCATCACCAGACCCCTGTTGTTCTTTCAGAAGACAGCTGGGCTGTGCCTACTGACAAAAGTTCTTCCAAGCACATACTGCAGGAAAAGCAGAATACAGCACCTCTTGAGAAAATAAATGCCAGTCAAATGCTAACGAATTATCTAGAGTTTGAGAGTGTGTCAGATAAACCTAAACCGTGTACGAGTTTCTCTTTCCAAGAGAAACAAGAAAAGATGTCTTCCCAAACATATCCCCACTGGGAACATTCTTTGGATGATGATAGTTTATCACAGAAATCGATCACATATCAAACATTTGGGAAAACTTTAAATGATGAAGATTCTATTTCCCCAGAAATTCTGGACTCATTAAATAATGAAGAATTGACAGATGAATTATTAGGTTGTCTAGCTGCGGAATTATTAGCTCTTGATGAGAAAGATAACAGCACTTGCCAAATGATGGCCAATGAAACAGATTCTGAAAGCTTAAATCTTATCCTCAACAGGGGAGAAAATACTATCAAGGAATTGGGCAGAGAGACAACAAATGTCACAATACAGGTTGGTATGATTAAAGTCAGTGATTGAGGCAGAAGGGAACTCAGAGACAATCAGACAATCAAATCCCTTATTTTCAAATGAGGAATCATAAACCCTAAATAATTAAGTAGTTTCTTCAAGGTCTCATTGTTTGGTTTTTGCAAGATTGGAATGCAGGCCTGTTCGTTTCCAGGCTATAATGACTTTACTAGGCTGCCTTATTTCTGAAATTTAGCTAGCTTGACATTGAAATCATCTGGGGTAAATTAATATGGCAAAATTATTTAAATGTCAATATTTTACTGAGTGATCATGTTTTCAGTCAAGAGCAGATAATTTTCAATGGTGAGCAAAGAAAGGTACAAGTAAAGCATTGTTCTAGGGTTTGGGTAAGATAATAAGTTCCAGCTCATTTCATTCCTCTGAAAACAAGAAAGGCACATTGCTCAGAGATTCCCTATACCTGATTGTTTCTTTCAGGTGGTTCAATGAATGAAAATATTATCAAAATGCCCACTGTGTTTCTGGCACTGTATTGAAGCTAGGAAATAGTGATGTGTAAGATTCAGCTGTTGTTCTCAAGGAAGCATAAGCTAGTCTTGCACAAAAAAAAGCAAGCGGGGCTGGGAAGGTGGCTCAGTGGTAGAGCACTTGCCTTGCATACTCAAGGCTCTGGGTTCGATTCCTCAGCACCACATAAGAAAAAAAGCTGGAAGTGGCGCTGTGGCTCAAGTGGTAGAGTGCTAGCCTTGGGCTGAAGAGCTGAGAGACAGCGCCTAGGCCCAGAGTTCAGGCCCCATGACTGGAACAAAAAAAAAAAAGCAAGCATTTTAATTAGAATGGTAATGAGAGTAGCGTGGGTACAAAGACGATCAACAGGTAGCTGGGCTTGGTTTCAGTTTTCCCTGAAGCTTATTAATATCCTATTCTCAAATTGAATTTAACTTTATTTTGATGTTACTGGGGTTTGAACTCAGAGCCCAAGGTTGCTAGACTAGTACTCCTCACTGGTGCTCTATCACTTGAGCCATACCTCCAGCCCTGCTTTTTGGTTATTTTGGAGGTGGAGTCTAGTGAACTTTTCTGCCTGGACTAACTTCAAACTGTGATCCTAAGCAGCCTTCCAAATAGCTAAAATTATAAGCCTGAGCCACTGGTGCACAGCTTTGCTCAGTACTATTTAGATAAGGTCTCTCTTCTTACCTGGTTAGGACAGGCATCTATGTTAGGTTTTCCTCTTAGCAAGGATAAGAGACATTCCCCCGAAGTCTAGCTCTATATTGAGGTGTTTCTTTTTAATTTTTATCTGTCAGGCTGGCCTTGAATCATGATCTCAACAATCTTAGCCTCCTAAGTAACTAAGATGATAGATGTGAACCACTGGTGCCTATCTAGTTCTCAAAAAAAAATTTTTTTTGAGCTGGTACTGGGCAATCTCCCTGAGCTTTTTCTTTTCTTTTTTTCTTTGCATTTCTTTCACTCTCAAGGCTAGTGTTCTACCACTTGAGCCACAACTCATTTCTGGCTTTTTGGTGGCTAACTGGAGAAAGTAGCTTCATGGGCTTTCCTGCATAGGCTGGCTTTGGACTGCAATCCTCAGATCTCAGCCTTCTGAGTAGCTGGGATTACAGGTGTGAGCCTCCAACACCTAGTGTTTTTTCTCAAATTTTAAAGACAGAAAAATAAGTTTAAAACTAAAATGTTATTTATTAAATAGTAAGCTACATTATATCACACTATATCAGGATCAAGAATGATTGTTTAAGGATAGAAGGTGAGTTGATTGAGATATGTTGTATACATGTGTGGATACATACAGTGAATTGATGTTAATAGAAATTAGAAACACACACACACACACACACACACACACACACACACACACACAAATAAAGCAAAAAGGGATGAATGTGTACACAGTACCAGCAGTAGAGGACCTGCCTGGCAAGTGCAAAATCTCGAGTTAAGGCCTCAGTATCATCAAAATAAAATAAAATATGAAATTTCTTAGGGGAAAAAGTATTTTAAATAGTTGCACAGAAACATACATAAATAGCTATCCTCATAGCTAGGTTTCCTGAGAACTTAGCACATGTAAGAGATGTGCATTGTATTCTCATTTTATACTTCACAATAACTGTATAACTACAATAGGTACTCATGTGCGCCCATTTTATAGAACATGATTTTTAAAAAATCATGATCTTTTGAGACTATGGGTCTGTGAAGGGCCCACCCCATCGAAGATGCCAGAGTTTGCTGTCTTCAGAGCATTTTCAACCCCTCTCCTACCTCTGAGTCTCAATAAAGTAGCTTGACCCCCACCCTCAAAATCATGCAGCTAGTGAGTGGCAGGAACATATTTTCTGCACAGTGATCATATTCCTTGTTCTACATATGGTGAACCTGGACCCCACTGGAAGGCAGACCGTGATTTGGAAAAGCCTCCAAGCTGTGGTGAAATATGAGTATGTTATATGCATACCTAGATATCTAAGATAGGCCTACCAACCTGCCATTTTAAATTGGAGAAGTCATTTCAAGTCCAACAAGCCAGTAAACATTATTCTATAACTCTACCTTATAATCATGGAGTCAAAAATAACCTTTAGTGATGTTTCTTTTCCAAGAAGTCCTAAATTTTAGTTGTATAGAAACATGAAAAAAATGAGTAAAAGGGAAACAGACAGCTTTGAAAACACATGGACATTCATGAGGAAAGTGACCCTACCAAACCTCTTGCTCTTAAAGGAGCTCACCATGACTCCTTTTAATATTTCTAGTAGCAGGGGTCAAATAAAGCATATGTGGTCTTGAGCAACCAATTGGAAAAAGTGGTCCAAGTTCTTCAAAGAGATACTTGTTTTCTGACTCCTGACATCTTCACTGTGAACACCCATCTTTTTTTCATTCAAATATAAACTTCACTTGAATCTGTCTAGGGCTTAAGATTCTGCAGGCCAAACCAGCTCCCAGTGATTCCTAGGCTGCTGGTCTATGGGCTCTCCTTAGAGAGGCAAGAATCTCCTTACAGAAGCAAGAAGGATTGTAGAACTTTTGATAATTGCTTACTGGTCATGCCCATTTAAAGCCTTTGTTATGGATGTGTGTGTTGGGGGTGGGGAGAGGAATCTGTATATGTGTTTATAATGTGTTTGTGTATAGAAGTATGTTTGCATTGCTTGTTTACATAGGCTTATGTTTGTATATGCTTATGTGTATGTGTTTGTGGAAATGAATGAAGAGCAATTAAAGGCTATTTGGAGCTAGGTGTGACAAGAGAGTCAGCCACCACAACTTCATTTTGGCAAAGACTCAAAGGCAGACAGGGGAGTGAGAGGGGAGTGAGAAGATTTATAGTGCAAAAAGAGAAGGCTAAAAGTGTTACCTGATTAGAGGCTGTTGGTGCAGGGAAGGTATGGCAGGCTAGGAGTGGTATAATCTATGATTCAGTGGGGCTGCATATTTAGCTTTATTTAATTGGACAGGAAGCTTATTTAAGTGGACAGGAAGCTTAAAAGCTATCAGTTATTAATCCTCCTACAAAATATACAAGGAATATACGAGATGGGTGTAATCTACAAGGCTGAAGTGGAAAACTAAAGTGCACTATTCTCTCATTCTGGGCAAAACTGTGTGCCTAAAAGTTACCTGTAAGCAAAGAACCAGTGCATTTGAAAAGAAGAGTACATAGTCTCCGTCTCAATGACTCAAGAATTTTGAGATGAGCCTTTTGTCTATTTTCCCCAGAGGTATAACAATGGGTTCAGGATATACGACAGGAAGGAGCTCCCCAACTCAATTGAAAGGAAGACATTTTCTGAAAATAGTTTAAAGCATGAAGAAGCTATCCTGTGGACCAAGGGTGAGATCCTTGGAAAGGGAGCCTATGGCACAGTAAGTTAACCTGGACTCTTGAAATGAGCATTCTCCCTTCTGCCTCCTCACTGTTTCTTCTCTACTCATTCTCCGCATGCTTCCTCTGTCCATACCCTTACTTAAAACTCTTTCAGCCAGAGTAACAGAAAACCTAAACTGTTCTGAGGGGAAAGATGTTTATTACTTTATGCATCTGAAAGGGGTTGATCTGGTTTTGGGAACAGGTGGTTTAAGGGCCTAACCATGTCATTAGGATCTGGTCTTTCACAGACTGGCTCTTGTTCTCAGGCTCCATGTGGGCACATGGCCATGAATTTCTAGCTTCTCATTGTTTCAGGTTCACACCCAATGAGGAAGAATTCTCTTCCTTCAGTAGTTCCACACGTCACTGGAGAGGTGGGAGAATCATTGCATGCTATCAGAAGATGTTCCTTGTGTTTGGTGCAGTGAAAAGGACCATATAAAATTTTGGTAATCTAGAAAAATAGCCTGGGAAAGAAAAAAAACTGACCTCCAAATAAGGTCCATATACTTTCTAGTGAGGAACATTTCAGTGAGGAGGTGGGAAGACATAAAACCATTGAGATCATATCAAAGAGGCTGGTCAGGACCCACCTCCTTCTTTCTTCAGGGAAATTTAGATCTGACCTAGAAGGGTTTCACTTACATGGTGAGATGTCTTCCCAAGGTACCATAGAAAAATCTTTGAGGCAAATAATGTTACCTAAGTTTTACAGTTGAGAAAAAATAATTTAAAAAGATTATACAACTTACTCTAAAAATATATGGCTGAAAAATGGTGAAGCCAGAATTCCAATCAATCCAACCTACTTGATTCTAAGCCAATATGATATCTATTTATCATGCTGCTTATTCATCTCCATCTTGGTTCCAGTGAAACACAGAATTTCTTAAATATGTTCCGTTTAGGTGGGGATGGATCAGCATAGAGAAAAAAAAAGTGTGTAGGAGGAAAAGGGAACCTCAAACATCACACGTAGAATTCTGTGAAGATATTATGTAACTTAAATTTAGTAGTAAGGTATTGTTTTGTTTCTAGGTATACTGTGGTCTCACTAGCCAAGGGCAACTAATAGCTGTGAAACAAGTGGCTTTGGATACCTCTGATAAATTGGCTACTGAAAAAGAATACCGGAAACTACAGGAAGAAGTAGATTTGCTTAAAGCCTTGAAACATGTCAACATTGTGGCCTATTTGGGTACATGCTTAGAAGAGAACACTGTAAGCATTTTCATGGAGTTTGTTCCTGGAGGCTCAATCTCTAGTATTATAAACCGTTTTGGGCCATTGCCTGAGATGGTGTTCTGTAAGTATACAAAACAAATCCTTCAAGGTGTTGCTTATCTCCATGAGAACTGTGTGGTACATCGAGATATCAAAGGAAATAATGTTATGCTCATGCCAACTGGAATCATAAAGCTGATTGATTTTGGCTGTGCTAAGCGTTTGGCTTGGGCAGGCTTAAATGGCACCCACAGTGACATGCTAAAGTCCATGCATGGGACACCATATTGGATGGCCCCAGAAGTCATCAACGAGTCTGGCTATGGAAGGAAATCAGACATCTGGAGCATTGGCTGCACTGTGTTTGAGATGGCCACAGGGAAGCCTCCATTAGCTTCCATGGATAGGATGGCAGCCATGTTTTACATTGGAGCCCACAGAGGTCTCATGCCTCCTTTACCAGGTCACTTCTCCCAAGATGCAGCAGACTTCGTGCGCATGTGCCTGACCAGGTAAGAAACGAAGTAGGAAGAGAATAAATCCGCAAAGATTCCAAGCTACTATACTGCCCCTTGTAATTGTGGCCTATTAAAGTCTCTGTTTCAGTAAAGAAATCAAGCAAAGAGTGAATTGTGCTGAAAGTAATCACACTGACCATACTGGATGGTTGTGTTCATTATTGTATCAGGGTGTAAGAGGGTACAGTGTCAAGTAGACAGTGCTCCAATTAAATGCCTTATAAGGTCCTGACAAGCATTTCCAAAATCAATGGCTTCACAAAACTTCCTGAAGATTCCGTTATTTACCAATGGAACACCTTTCCAGGAAATGCTCCCATGAAGTGATATCTCTCTGCATTGAAAGGAATGGAAAATATTTTGAACAAAAAGAATAAGTATCAAGTACTAGAGTATTTGGGAAGCAGAAAGACCCTTGAAAACAGCCTGTTTTCCCTTTTTATTTTATCTCATTATCTATGGAATAAACAAACTTCCAGGTAAAATGTGGTAGTTATAGGGACTATAGAAATTAATTTTGAGTGTGTTTTCCAAATTATTAGCTAGGTAGTATCTAGTCATATACATTTTTTTGGGGGGGGTCCAGTCATGGGGCCTGAACTCTGGGCCTGGGCACTGTCCCTCAGCTCTTCAGCTCAAGGTTAGCGCTCTACCACTTGAGCCACAACGCCACTTCCGGCTTTTTTTTCTTTTTGCTTATGTGGTGCTGAGGAATCGAACCCAGGGCCTCATGCATTGCAAGGCAAGCGCTCTACCACTGAGCCACTTTCCCAGCCCTATATACATTTTTTTTGTTAGTCATGGAGCTTGAACTCAGGTCCTGGGTGCTGTTCCTCAGCTCTTCAGCTCAAGGCTAGCACTCTACCACTTGAGCCACAGTGCCACTTCCAGCTTTTTCTGCTTATTGGTGCTGAGGAATAGAACTCTACTACTGAGCCACCTCTCCAGCCCCTCATATGAATTCTTAATCTAAAAATAAAACAAGGTTGAGGGTGTAGCTCAGCTTTAGGGTGTATTCTCCTAGTATGTTCCCTAGCACTGAAAAATAAGGCAATAAATGAAGCATATAAGCAGAGAGATAGTTATGATTAAAGTGTGTGTGTGTGTATTTTGGAGGAAAGCTGAAGAGTGAGCCCTGGAGCCTACTTATTATTCTAGAATGGGGCAGAGCATCCTAAAAATCTTCCCACCTAGTAAGAAAAGTAATTCTCGATACTCAAACTCAATTTCTTGTTTTCAAATGAAGTGTATTTTTATATCCTTATGTAAAAAACTCTATAGCCTAGCCAATATCACATACAAATGGAAACCTTCAACTCCAAGAGGTTTTACTTTGCCTTTCTGCATGAATGGAAGAAACCTTGGGGCTCATTGTCAAGAAACATGCCTCTCTCTTTTTTGTCTCTTTATCTCATTCTTCTAGCACATGTATATGCTCTCTTGGTTGAGTTCAGGAGGAATACACAAGCCAAGGCAGAAACACATTTCTACATCCCTTCCAGCAGGTTAGGGAGTTCTGAGGAGCTCTGGATACAGATAACTCTTGGGTGTTCCAGTGTAGAGTTTGTGCACAGACCACCAGGCACAGAGCTATCCAACCTTGCAAACTCTGCAACAGGGATGCAATGATGTTGACAATCTCTGATGGGCCAATATTAGATGTGGAGGTTGGTTTTAGCTTTACAATGATTGTAGGTGCTTTGCTGAGTGTAATAATTACCTGTTATCAACTTTCAACTAGAACCCATTTGCTAGTCTCATTTTCATTCAACTTGTCCTGACATATACACACATATATACACAGAGAAAGTTTTAAAGAGAAAGAGAAGTTTTCATAGATCATCTTTTGAACCATTGCTTCACAAACTGAGCACAACCGGGCTTACACTACTGATATATATTAACAGGGTTATGCAGGTTAGGTGGAATCACACACTATAGGGCACACAATGGAGTCTCTCTAGTTAATATCCATTAGGGAGAATACTAGCACACCTTAATCAATGTCAGGCACACATGCTTTACCTCTGAAAATACTTCCTAAAACAAACCCCCTATGGATCGAAGTATCTCATTTAAAATGTAGCTAACAAGATTCTGTGGAGGTGTAGATAGCTAGAAATTAAAGAGTGAAGCACTTTTTGTGGGGAGGGTGTAGTACTGGGGTTGAATGTGGATTAAGCTGATATGGCTGAAGCATACTTCTAGGACTATTTTTCACTGGTTATTTTTAGGATAGCCTTCACCTCCTTCTCTCACATACATGCCAGAAATGAACTACTTTAGATTTCCCGTTATTGCCAAGATGACAGGCATATGTAAATATATCTAAATTTTCTCTATGGAAACAGAGGTTCAAAGACCTTTCCATCTGGAACTTGCCTGGAGCCTCCATCCTACTATTGTTAGGTACCCATATAGCTTGATATGATAGTCATATGCCACAGCCCCAAGGTATGAATTTCATAAAAATTTCTTCCAGGCTAGCCTCAAACCATAATCTCTTATTCTTAACCTCCCAAGTAACTAGAGTGACAAGTATGAGCCATCAACACCCAACATGAGACATTGTAAAGACTTAGAAATAGAGGGGATCAGGTATAAACCAGGAGCAAGACTAGATTAGAACAAAAAAAGAACTTGGGAAAGCAGTGAGAATAGCATGGATGGGGGTAATGCTTTGGTTAGCCTGAAAGCTCTAAGTTAGGCCAAAGAATTTAGCTTTGTGGCAAAAACAGTGAGAAAGTGGAGTGCTACAGAGGATATTGGATAAAGAATGCCATGAAGAAAAGTTGGATTTGTGCTTGATAGTGGAGAAAGATGATAGGATTTTATTATTTTGAGACTGGATCATGGGAGAAATAACCATCATGAAAGAGGAAAGGGAAGGAAATGAGACACTCTCCCTTTGTCTAAGGAGACATTTGCATCTATTTGAGTGGATCTCAGCAAAGCAATTAAAGTTGTGGGCACATATTTAAACCTATAGGGCTGGAGTAACTGGTAGCACATGTGCTTTGCATTCATGAGACCCTGATTTCAATCCCCAGCACCACTTCAAAAAAATCATGGTTAAGGTCAACAGCTATAGTTATAAAAATTAGAGAGTCTATAAAAATGTTTTTGAAAATGCTTATAGGGGAAGAAAAGAGAATATGCATAGTGCAGACTTAGGATGTCACTAAAGAAAGGAAGTTGAAGAGGGAGAGAAAGGATTACCCTAAGGTGAAGGAATCAAAAGAATGGCTTCTCTTAAATCTAAACTGAGATAGTTTCAGGAATAGGAAATGAGTATTCCAAATGTCCCATAGAGAAAAGAAGAATGAGCTCATTAACTATCACTGAGTTCAAGATGGAACTTTCTATGTAGCAGTGGTCTCAATGTTATTTGTGATTCAAAAAATAACATGTTGAGAAAGAAAACGTCACCAGAATTGAACATGTTAGAAACATTTGGCAGGAAGAACAGAGGCAATATGGCTGATAGATGACAAGGAAAAGGCTTTTTTTTTTTTTTTTTTTTTTTTTTTGCTGTTTAGGCCTTTTTCATATGAGCTAATTTTTAATTAAGTTTTTTTATTGTGAAAATACTATACAGAGGGGTTACAGTTGCATGAGCAAGGTAATGAGTACATTTCTTATCCAGCATTGTTGCCTCCTCCTTTGCTTTTCCCCTACCATCTCTTCCCTCCCACCTCCTCATCTACAGTCCCCCACCACCACTCCCCCACCTCCTCCATGCCCCCACTCCCTGCCTAAATTGTAAAGTTCATTTTTTGACATAGTGTCTTGTACTTTTCATTGTTGCAATGGGTCAATCTGTATAAGGGAAAGACTTTTGAAGAAGGATTTCTGCCTATTTTGAAAGTAGGAAAAAGGATTTCCAGATAGAGAAATGCTATATTAAAAACACATTTATAGGGCTGGGAAGGTGGCTCAGTGGTGGAGCGCTTGCCTTGCATGCCTGAGGCCCTGGGTTCGATTCCTCAGCACCACATAAGCAAAAAGAAAAA